GCCGGTGGCACTGGCACTGCCGCTCCTCACCGGAGCCCACCGGTGCCCGCCGGGGCTGGGAGGCCACGTCCTGCTGGTGGCTCCAGCTTGTCACTGTCCCCCCGGCACCCGCCACCCACGCTGATGGCAGCCCCGAAAGGCATCCCCAGGAGCAGCTGTGGCTCTGTCCCCTGGTCCCCGAGCCGAGGGCCGGTGCCACTGTCCCCCCTTCCCGGGCACGTGGCAGCTGTGGGGACCCCGGCAGGGGGCCGAGACCAGCCCACTCCCCGGGGAGCAGCCCCACGGCAGTGCCACCAGTGTCACATGCCCTGTCACCTCCGCGAGGGGACACGGCCGGACGGCATGGGGACAGGTCCCCAGTCGCCCGGCGGATCAGACCTTCGGGCAGACCCGGGTTGGGGGGACAGGGGGACCCCGGGTGGGGGGGCTGCGGTCACAGCAGGGTGACACAAAGGCAGAGGGAAGGGGAGGTGGCCGCTTGCAGAGGGGTTTCTCCACACTGGGCAGGGGACGAGCCCCTGCAGCAGTGCTCGGGGACGTTGGGGACGATCGGTGGCAGCCCTTGGCCCCCGCTGCTGGTGCCTCAGGGAGGGGGGTCACCCCAGCCGGGTCCCCCAAAACCCCGCTGTGCCGGCGTACCCTCGCTCGGCCACCCCACACCTCCGCCCCACGAGGCCACGGGACCAGCAGCCCCCGGTGACAGGGACCCCTTCGCCCTCCCAACACGGCAGGGACACGGGTGGGTCCCCAGGGGTGGCCGAGGAGCTGCCCCATAGCAGGGGCCCAGCCCTTGTGGCAGAGCTGCCCTCCTGAGCCCCCCACGGCCATGGGGCCTGCCCCACAGCAGGGGCCCTGCCCTCCAGGGGGGCCCCCACCTTGCACCCCACAGCAGGGTTCCCTGCCCTATAAGAGGTCCCCACCCCGAGCCCCCCGTGCTTCTCAGGCTCCAGCCACCCCCCATGTGTCCCACAGCCTGGTGGCACAGCTCGAGGACAGAGAGACGGGGGGCAGCACCCCACAGCTGGGGTGTTGGAGCGGCACCCCCAGCCGAGGAAGCGAGACAGGGCCCCGGCAGCCCCCCAGAGATGGGGGTCCCACGGGGGGGCTGGGCAAGGCATCGGGGCTGGTCCCACCACAGCGGCCGTGTCCCCATGTCCCCAAGGGACGGAGTTTGGGGGGTCCCGGGACGGGCGGTGCCGGGTGGGGGGCCAAGGCCAGGC